AATCTCTCTTTAATTGTGTGTCTAGATTTTGTGGTATAGTTCATGAAATGCAGCTTAATTTTTGGGAAGAAATTACAGATTTGTGCTTATAACTATGAATTTCTCAATGATTTCTCCGACTAAGTAACCTGAATACATCAAATTATTACTCTTGACATGACCAAAATGAGAATCATATTTCACTGTATGAAAAAACACAGTTTACATGTGATTCTCTCAATGTCTGTGTGAACAAACTTGTCTTAATTTATGTTCCTTAAGACGTCCTGTGACCTTACCCAATCTGCAAGATTGTTCAATCATCAATCTATACATGGAATCCTGTTCATGTGGAACAATCCCAAATTCATCGTTGAAACCTTCCATGCCTTCCATGAATAGCTGCCACACCAATGTCCCTGCACCTGACTTCCTTCGCTTGGCTGATTTGTAAATCACATCGAAGATGATTCTGTAGAACCGGTCTCGTTGGGATGGCTCATAGTCCTTGTTCAGGTTCGAGAGTCCAAACTCTGTGAACAGAACTGGCTTCTTCAGTTCCTTCTTCCCATCTTCAATGTGAGATTGCATCCATTTCACCACAAATTTTAGCTTATCTTCAAAGCTCTGATTATGAAACCTGCACATACATATGTAAGTGAAAGTAAGTATTAAACAAGTGAGCATTGCTGTAACAATGTAATCTATACTTGGTTTAAGTCTGTCTAGCCAAATTAGCTACCAAGTTTCAATCTTCCTAGAGCTCATTGCAACCAAATCTTCATTCTCTGTTTCATTGGACTTACCAGTGATCAGGGTAGATATGAACGGATGCGAAATCAATGTTTGATGAATTAGAGTTTCGAACAAAGTCTGTTCCAAGCTCAGAGGGCCACTGTTCTGGATTAACTGTCAGCCGTTTCGGGTTCTTGGGGCCATAGAAGCCTTCCAGGCCAACTGTGAGGAGATGTTTGTCATCAATTGATTTGATAAAGCCCGTCATTTCGTCTATCCAGTCCTGTGATCCCCCCCAAAGAAACACATTAATATTTGGCTGAGTAAGAAACAATCTGAACGATTCAAAATGATAGGTGAAATAGAGGACTGACTTGGAGGGTGTCGCCAGAGACATCAGATGTGCATCGGGGCTCGTTTATCAACTCCCAAGCGAAAATCGTAGGGTCGTTTCTATACTCTATTCCATTCACTGAGTTCTTGCGGGTTAGCAGAGCCTGCGAATCAAGAAACAAAATTTCAATTTCCTACCCTTTAGGCTTGCTCACTCAGTGACCTATGTTCAATCGTATTTGCAAGTGACGACGAGATAGACAAAAAACCGTTACCGTGAGATAGTTCTTGAAGTATTTGCGGATAGATGGATCAAAGAAGAAGGAATCATTGGAGGAGCTAAGGCCAACACCATCTTGCCATGCCCATTTCACATACTGTGACTTGCCTCCGTAAGCTTGCAAGTTGTTCACTAAGCTAAGAAGCAATCTAATATCATGCTTCCTTGCCTCTGCAATTACATGATCCAAAGCCTGAACAAACATTATTATATATACAAATTCCATTTAAACAAGAAACTAGAGAAATCATACACATACATCCACAGAACTGGATGCTAAATTGATTACAGGTAAGGAAAAGAAACCTTGAAGACTCGTTCATCGAATTGGCCAGGAGAGATCTGAAGAGCGTTGTAGCCACCGTCATTGAAAGCCCAAGTTCTACAAACAGTGAGACCCATCTTAGCTCCAGCTTCAAGCATTTCACCGACAAGGAATCTGCTGTGTTCATTCACCGCATGGTCCATGAACCAGTACGAGTTCCACCCATTTACATAGAGAGCCTCACCATCAACCACGAACTGAGTTCCGTTCCGTTTCACAAACCCTAACTCGGTTTTCCCTTTGTGATTGAGCCACAAARCACGAATTGAGAAARAGATMAAAGCTGCACAAATCAGMAACCCTAGAATTGGTACCYCTGSCCCGTTTCTTGCGGGAGCCATACACAGCAAAATTGGATAAATGGCTTTGTCGGTAGCACCCAGAAGACAAATATTGTTCTTTGTTTGGTGAATGTCTCTGAAATTTCAAACTTTTTTATGAAAAAATTATTCCTTTATACCAAAATTAACAAGATTTGGAAAAAAAAAAAAAAAAGGCTCCCTTTAACGCTTTGGGCAAAATCGAGATTACAAACTAGTAGCAGAAAAATGTGAGCTTTGATGAATAATTGAATACCCACCCACAAGGACTGAACAGATATATGTATCTTTGTTTTTATATTAGTTTCACTGTACAGATCTCTTTTATACGTATTCCAAAAACCACATGCCAACAAAAAAAAAACGTATCTCAAATTCAAAAGATCCAGACTACATCTAGACTT